GAGGGGCCTGCCGGGGAACTGCCTTTGCAGCCGATCCTGGTGGATCTCTCCTCTCCCAGACCCGCTGTGGCCCCTGCTGAGGCCCCAGCTCCTCTTCCTCCAGCCAAGCCACCCGTGCTGAAGAATGACAAGGGTATTTGCGGCCTCGGTTTGCTGTGTGCATGGAGTGTCAGCGGCTGCCCACCGAGTACTAACCTCCTAGAGACTGTCGGGCCTCGATTTCCCCCACACACACATGCACACACTTCTGCTTGGTTTGTTAGCCTAGAAACGTGGCATTTAGAAGTGATGTGCCATGCTGTGTAGTGAAGCCAGAATAACCCTGTGCTGAGCCCTGAGCTGCCTGGTGAGCGCTGACCCGGATCCTGGCTGGGGTACGGGGCGTCCCAGTGTCAGGCAGGCCACAGCCCGCTGCCTGCTCTTGTGTTGGGCACCAGCTTCTGCAGTTTGTTCGAGTGCAGGTCACGTCACTAACGGAGGGGTCTGGGGGACGCGCTGAGCATGGGGCTGGCTTGTGGGGGGGTGGTTTGAACTCTGTTGCGTCTGGAGCAGCGTCACCAGAACTGCGTAGGGCTTGAAAGGCCAGTCGGAGCCTCCCACTTGGATGTTTCTCCAACGCCTGCTGTGTATTTAATCCATTCCTCTCCGAATTCTTTGTTTCTCCGCAACCTGGTGGGGATCTAGGTTAGCTCAAAGATCGCCAGAGGACCCAGGGTTAATCGCGGTCACTTTGGGCTGCCTGTGTTGGGCAGATGCTCGCAGTTCTGCTTGGCTTTAGCGTCCCGGCTGGTTCACCTGTGGTTATCCTTTTACTTCCCTGGACGGAAGTTTAGTGTTAAAATGTGTCTCCGTGGCCTGTGATAGTTCTTCGCGTGTGTGCTGGTCAGTTGGCCTATCTGCGCTCACTTCTGGGCCACGGGAGCGTTGCTGTATGTCACTGGTGGTGGTGGCCTGCCCTATGCACACCCTGACCAAGCTGCACACAGCATTTAGTGCAGGGCCCGAGGGTCAGGGGGTGGGTGGGTGGTGGGTCTGTCTAGTTACCAAGCCTTCTGTCCACTCCCAGTGAGACTGGGGCACGTGGAAATCACAGATGGGGCGGGGTTTGTGTCCTACCTGCTCTTCATTTCTGAACTGGCTGTAGCACAGGAGAGAAGGGTTGTAACTCGCCCCGCCCGGTCTGCGCTGGGGGTCGAGTGTGACACAGACAGATTCTGCTTCTTCACTTCTGTGCTGCCAGGCACGTTTCGTTCTCCAACACGTCCCGGCTTGCAAGCTAACGACACCCACTGCAGCGGAGCCTTGCATGAACTGCCAGCGGTCCTCTGAGTCTTACCAGAACCCGGGTGGCTTCTGGGCAGTGGCAGCCAGATACGCAGCCAGAGATGCTGCTTCCTGCAAAGGGCTCTTGGTTTAATTGGTGTCGTACCATCCCCTTTAATAGAGCCGTGCGTGGGCCTGGCTTTGTGCAAACAGCTCAAGGGGAATTGTAGCCAGTTTCCCTGCTCTAGGCCTGAGCTCCTCCAATCCCCCACTTTGCTGTCATTTAAACAGACTGAAGAGGCATTAACAGAGCATCAGATTTTGTCTCCCCCACCCCAGTTGGGTCCCTGGTGATGCGAGTTCTGCTGTGGGTGTTGTCGAACCTGCCTTTACACTTGTTTATCACCTGCTCCTGCCTATCACACGCTTCACTGCTGATGAATGTAGAGGTTCGGGCTTGGAGCTGGATTCTCCCAAGAGCTGAGTACTTGTGACTCCCGCTGGTTTTAAAGGAGATGGGGGGTGCCCAGTGCCCTCGGTCAGCCCTCTAATTAGGTGCAGCTACTTCCCCACTTCGCCTAGGGGAGTACCTTAAACTCCTTCCTGTTTCTCAGCTTCTAGACGGGACAGAATACCAACCATCCCCCCCATATCCTCTAATTCACCCTCCCTTCCCTATCCAAAATCCAGTGGCAGCTGTGTCGGCAGGGTCTGTAAACCAGTGGCCTCATAGATACCAGGTTCTGATCCGCTCCAGTCTAGTTGTTAGAGAGAGCAAGAGGGGAAGGAGCAGGCAGTCATGCAGTCTGGCCCCAGCCCGTCTGACTACTAGGCTTCTGTCTGCTGCTGCACAAGGTTTTCCCCCACCGTTTCAGAGCACTGGATTTCCAAAGCGGTTGGTGCTACTAGTCTGTGTTGTCCTGCTTGGATGTGCCTGTTCCTTCATTACCCAGGAGGGATCGGAGAGGGGAGAACTCCTCTTTCAGGTCTTACATACGTTGATTGGCTTGAAGTTCATTTCAGTATGAACTGGGGTGATGGAGCAGTGTCAGCCTTTGGTATAACAAGACCCTAAACAACCCCGTGGCAAAGGCTCTGCCAGAACAGGGCAGCTTCCTTGGCCCCTTCTGTTTCCTCCAGACTTGCCTGCTACTTCCCACAGGGGCCCATGCTGGAAAATGTGATGCACGTTTGTTTCCATAGGGTCCGGCACAGAATCCGACAGTGACGAATCGGTGCCAGAACTCGAAGAACAAGACTCTACACAGGCCACCACACAGCAGGCACAGGTGAGGGGTCCGCTCCCTGCAGCTGAGCGTGTGCAGTGGGGGTCAGTTGCAGGATCCCTGGCTTCTGGAAGTGAGCGAGGCCCTTTCGTCTTCGCGCTGTGTAGGGCCGTGATCTGTGAATTGACTGAGCCCAGGCAGTCACTTGAGGCGGACGTGAACATGCATCTCTCACTGTGCTCACAGATTAGGGGGAAATCCCCATTCTTTAATCCACCCAGACGCATCCCTCCCAGTCCCTGCTAGCTCACACCGCTGTGAATGCTGGCCACTGGAGAGTCACGCCCGCATGCGGAGCAGTTCTGTTCCTCCCTCCCCCATACAGTGAGCTGGTCATGCTGCTCTCCGTGCATGTGGCACAGGCTGTGTCCTGAACGAAGCTCCCCAGTTTCTGAGAGAGACCATCTCAGCTGCTCCCCCTGCTGTTGGTTCCTTGGGCCTCTTCCCCAGGATTTCCTTGTTTTCTGTCCCTGCAGCTCGCAGCAGCAGCTGAAATAGATGAAGAACCAGTTAGCAAAGCAAAACAGAGCCGGAGTGAAAAGAAAGCACGAAAGGTAAGAGAAGATGGCAGTGGGCCCAATTCCTCGCCCTCCCTTAGGGTGTCAGCCCAACCTGCTGGGAAGAGGAATGGCTCTGTCAAGATCTCAGTGTGCATTGGGGCTTATATCCACTTGGATTTAGCCCTGTCGTGCCCAGCATGGTGCTGCTTGCATAGTGCAAGGCCTCCTGTGCTGGCATGGAACTGAGGGGCACTTGTGTGACGCCTTTCTCATCCAATGACCTCAGAGGCCAGCCCTGGCGACCCCCAGCTGAAGAGGTGCTCCCGTTCCAGAGGAGAAATGGAAACAGAGAGAGGTGACCTCAGGTCACCCAGCAAGGCGGTGGCAGAGGTGGGAGTGAACGCTGCCTCCAGGTTCTCTCCATTCTGCCTCTGTCTACAAGGCTTTGAAGGCTTCTCGGCCGCAGAAGTGTCAGAGGTTCCTTTGTGGGATCCCGATGTCCTGAGCCGATGAGCTAGTTACACCCTGGCCTAGACTGTCTCAATGAGCTATTTCTCTTCCCTTCTCCTTTGCTTTTAAGGCAATGTCCAAACTGGGCCTTCGCCAGGTCACAGGTGTAACCCGAGTCACCATCCGGAAATCCAAGAACATCCTCTTCGTCATCACGAAGCCAGACGTGTACAAAAGCCCCGCATCAGACACCTACATCGTCTTCGGCGAGGCAAAGGTGAGCTGAGCCCGCTCGTGATGGGCGGGGGAACATCTGATCCCTCTTTCAATCTGTGTTCACAGCAGCCAGACCTCAGGGATTGCAGTTCTGTGGCGTCTCGCTTCAGACAGAAGTGTGCCTAGATGAGTTTCCCTGCTGCGGTGTGTGTGTGTGTGTGTGGTGGGATGTGAGTGGGCTTTGAACCCTCTCTGCGGGCTGGTTTTCTCATCTCCATTGTGCTTGCACTGTGGCTGGGGCTGACTCGAAAGGCCTTGGATGTCTGAACCTCCATTCTGAAGTCCTGGCTTCTCTTTGGGTTCAGTTTCAAATTGCAGCCTGTTCGCCAGCATCTCACCGTGCTCTGTGCTTCTCCCAACCCCCAGATCGAAGATCTGTCCCAGCAGGCGCAGCTGGCAGCTGCCGAGAAATTCAAAGTGCAAGGAGAAGCCGTCTCAAACATTCAGGAAAACACACAGACTCCCACCGTACAAGAGGAGAGCGAAGAGGACGAGGTATGTGGCCTCCAGGGCCCAGTCATGTTTGGGGTCTGAAACAGAAGCCCACCGCCAGTGCAGTTCAGATGAAAGGACCCACTGTATTAATGTGCACATGTGGTTAACGGAACGTGCTAGCTGCCCACCCTAGTGTCTCCATCTGGCAGGTGTCCAGGACCCCTGTGTGAAGCAAGTCGGGGGTGGGTTTCCAGCCCGTTTCCCAGGGGGACGCCTCACCCAAACCATCATACCGACTGGTCCTCTCTTTGGGAAGCCCGGCAGAGGGCAGGCCCCGGACGTTTACTATCCTTCCCCGCTCCGGAGCAGGCACTTCTCACCAGCACTGATTATTACCGTTACTGGGCTCCTGCTGCTGTATGGATTGTGATCTCTCCCCGTTGCACTCACCTTCGCGGCATCGGAGCCCGTTTGCCTCTATAACGCGTGCTGGATACGCTGAGATGTGGTGCCTGGGGATTCCCTGTCCCTTCCTCCGCCTCCCTGCCCTAATTGCTGGCCATCCCAGAATCCCCTACTGCGGCGCTGCTTGCACCTTCCTTTCGAAGCAGCTGGTGCTGGCCACTGTCAGGAGACAGGATAACAGGCCAGATTGGGTCTGATCCAGCCTGGTCATTCCTGTGCTTCCATGAAGCAGGCATTTCCCCAATCTGCAAGCAATGAAATCAGATCATGACTCTGCTACTGCTTGGGTTGAATTGTGGCTACCCCCAGTGGGACGGGGCCATCGGTACCTGCACGGCACAGAGAGGTCCGTGCCGCCAGCTGGGAGACAGTCCTGGTCTTTTCTCGCTTAGGTTGACGAGACCGGCGTCGAGGTGAAGGACATCGAGCTGGTCATGTCCCAGGCGAACGTGTCCCGGGCGAAGGCTGTCCGGGCCCTGAAGAACAACAGTAACGATATTGTAAATGCTATTATGGTGAGTGGCCCCCAAAGCCAAGTTCCCAGCCAGTCGAGCAAAGCCAAAACTTGGGGAGTAGACGTTACAGTTTGGAGTGAATCCTCCCTGGATGGGGAGAACAGGGCACGCTCATTTCACTGCTGATGGGTGTGAAGAGCTTACTGATCAGTTACCATGAGGGCATATCCCTACTTACCCCCTCCTCTCTTCGTGTCTCAACTCGCCTGTTCTGCATCATTCTGGCAGTTTTAGTTGTCTGCACCAACGTCGCTATTGGGAATGGGGGAAAATAACAGATCCGATGGTACAAAATCCGCTTGGGTCTGTGTTGTGATGTAAATAATTATTTGGGGGGGGGGGTAGGCGCCCCCCTGCCTTTGTCCTCCCTGCCCCCCGCGTGTATCCAAGCAGGATATCGCACAGCTCTCTGCCTTCAGAGCAGCCATAACAGCCTTCCCCAAGGCCGCTTGGCCCTGCTTGGTAGATAAACAGTGTGAAGCTCACGCCGTTCTGTTGCTTCTACATCAGCATGCTGGAGGGGGGTAGCGTGCAGAGATTAGTGAAGGCTCCGGGGAATTTCAGATCTGCCCCCAGCGATAGTTTCTAACCTCTCTCTCTCTCTCTCTCTCTCTCCAGGAATTGACGATGTAGCCATCAGAAGGGAGGAACCTTTTGGTTTTTCAGAGAAGAGTAAAATGCAGCTAAATTTAACATTTGTACTATTTCTATCGATAAATAAAAGTTGTGGCTTACTGTCGATGAAATCTTTTATTTTTTGTTTTGCTTTTGGTTTGCCCTGAGGTCACAAGGAGGTGGAACCACTGATCACAGAGAAGATCCCGGGCCTGACATCCTCTCTCCTTTGCTGTTCCTGGGGAAGCACACCTGCTCATTCTAGTTTTCCCTTGCTCAGTGGGAAGGTCCACCAGTCTGTAGGGGGCAGCAAAGGGCTCAGACTCTAGGTCAGGAATGTTCCATTGCGAGTGTGGAACACGGAGCTTATGGACACACGCTGTCTAAAATTCAGTCGCAAATTCTAATGTTCAGAGGTTAGAAAATCTCTGAGGGGCCTCATCTCCTCTCCCCCTCCCCCCCCCAAGGGTGGTGCAAGGTTGCTCCCTTTAGAGTTCTCAAGTGTCTAGTCCGCTCCAGGTTTTAATGACTCCGGTGTTACCAACATGAAAGGGATCTGGGGGTCATAGTGGACCACAAGCTAAATATGAGTCAACAGTGTAACACTGTTGCAAAAAAAAGCAAACCTCATTCTGGGATGTAGTAGCAGACAGGAGAAGTAATTCTTCCACTCAGCTGGAGTATTGTGTCCAGTTCTGGGCGCCACATTTCAGGAAAGATGTGGAGAAATTGGAGAGAGTCCAGAGAAGAGCAACAAAAATGATTTAAGCGTCTAGAAAACCTGACCTAGGAGGGAAGATTGAAAAAATTGGGTTTGTTTAGTCTGAAAGAGAAGACTGAGAAGGGACATAAGTTTTCAAGTACATAAAAGGTTGTTATGAGGAGGGAGAAGAATTGTTCTTCTTAACCTCTCAGGATAGGACAAGAAGCAATGGGCTTAAATTGCAGCAAGGGAGGTTTAGGTTGGACATTAGGAAAAACTGCCTGACTGTCAGGGTGGTTAAGCCCTGGAATAAATTGCCCAGGGAGGTTGTGGAATCTCCATCATTGGAGATTTTTAAGAGCAAGTTAGACGAACACCTGTCAGGGGTGGGCTAGATAATACTTAGTCCTGCCTTGAGTGCAGGGGACTGAACGAGATGACCTCTCGAGGTCCCTTACAGTCCTATGAGTCTATGAACATAATCGTGAGATTGGCCTAAAAATCGTAACCTCTTTATAAAAAGAAACATCACGTTCTTTTGATCTGCCTTCTGGTTTCTGAGGCTTTAGGTTACACTCGCTTCATGTGTCTAAGCTTTTCTCTGCGAGCATGAAGGCTAGGAACTTACTTTTTTTTAAAAAGGAAAGAATCATCCCTGGCTCTCTAGTGATTTTCATTTACAGAGGAGGTATCATTACCCCCATTTTATAGGTGAGCAAACTGAGGCACAGAGAGGAAAGTGCCTTGCCCGAGGTGGCCCAGCAGGCCACTGACAGAGCCAGGTCTCCCGAGGCCCAGTCCAGTGACCTCTCTTGGGCTACAGCGTTTATTTGTTGTATGGCGCTAGGTACTGTACAAAAACAGAAGAAAAAGATCGTCCTTGCAATCTCTTGATTTCAGCACTTGGAGCTTTTGGAAATAACCCCAAAATCACAAGAGTTGGCAACTCTGTGCTCAGCTGGTGGCTCTTCCACCGCTTCCTTGGATCGGCAGCGGTGGGAAGTTTTTCTTGGCGTTCATCTCTTATTTACACCCTGTTGTATAACTCTGAAGGTGGAGTGACTGCCCGTACTTGCTGTCAGGGTGTTAACATTTATATTGCAGTAGCACCTGCCAGCCTCAGTCAGGCCAGGGCCTTGTTGTGCCAGGTATGTACAAAGTAAATGACAATACCCACCATTTTAAAATGCTGCGTTACTAGAACTTTAATGGCATTGTCGTGTACTACCACGTAATGAGGTTTGTCTTCGATTGCTTCCCTCTCGTTCCCCCAGCCTACAAGCAAACCTGTCCTTGTCCAGAAAGTTGAATGCGGTGCAGAGGGAGGGAGCTAACGCCCAATGAAATCCTAAGTGTCATGAAAAGAAAAGGCAGAAGCGGTGAAAATGGGAATCTTGCCACTGCTTAGTAACGCTTTCCCCCCTGTGCAATAAAAACTGGGCCGTGGAACAACTCATTAAAACTGATGAGCTACACTGCGGAGAATAGTCAGCAAGGAACCCCAAATGACATCAGGGAGAGCCGCTAGCTGGAAGCCCCTCATGCTGTGCACAAGCGCTGTAGATACTGCTGTTAGTCACAGTCTGTCCATGTAAATCCAAGCAGGCAGCGTTCTGAATCTCCCATGGGAAGCTTTTGGAGGATACAGGAAGATGGTGCAGAGGACGGACGGATGCTGTAGCCAAATTTGGGAAGTATGCTGGAGTGTGAGGTTCAGGGAGCCGGGCTCGATCGTTTTCATTAAGACTTTAGCGCTCAGAGAGAAGTGATAGGATTTGAAAGTAGCCTAGGACACCAGTTGGCTGCATTCAGAGGCTGGTAGGTGAGAATAGGAGTAAAACCTGAAAGGATCTCTTCCACAGTCCTATTTGGGGTGGGGTAGAGCTGATTTTCGTGAGCTATTCTAATCTGCCAGATGTTGCTTTGAGCCTGCAGGTGCATCGATAAGGCTTAATTATTGATTTGACTGGTTGTCTGAGAGAATGGCAGCATATTATCTAGACAATTGCTTCGCTGCCTGGATGTTGCCCTGTTTTGAAAATGCAGCTTTATCCAATGGAAAGGCGAGTGAACTCAGCTTCTCTCACTGTTTTGGAATGAGGGAATCTGTCTCTCTCTTGTTGATGGGGATGTTAAAGCTTTCTAAAGAATCCCCCCGCTGCAGTGTGGGTGCCGGCTTGCTATCTCCCAGGCAACTCAGGTGAGCTTATAATTAGGTGTGGTGGAATTTATTTATTTATTTTTTGTTCATAATTTTGATGGATATCCATCTTTGTAAACATTTTAAATTTTTGGATCGATTTACATTTTCACAATTGTGGGACTCTATAGTGGGTGGCGGGCAGGATATAATTGTAACGAAAGTTCTCAAGCAGCATTTTTCTCTGCCTATCTTTAAAGTTTCAGTTTAATATGATATTGTGTGTGTCTGGTGAAATCGACGTTTATCGATAAAAATCGAACCCTTCCAAGCCTATTTTATAATGCCCCAAAAAGACAGGCTGTGGAGGAGGAGCCCTCATAAATACGTAGCAAAATGTGCATGGCTATTTCCTTCATGAACGGGGGCTTTGCTCCTTACTTTATAATGAGGTTTTTGCTTTTAACATGAATCATTCTCTAGCCCTCTGGCAATACTGGGTCTTTCTCTTTATTTTTGGCAAGAGAGTGCATCCAACACAACCAACATTCTCTGCATGGATGTCAAGGCCTTCCAGGGCTGCCCTCTCAGCACAGAAGAGGCTCCGTGCCAGTGGTCTCTGACGGGCGTCGGACTGGGCTGGGAATAGGTTTGGGGAGCAGTGCTCTGGCTCCCAAGGCGTTGAGGAGTTGGCACGTCCCTGCTCTTCGCCTGTGGATCTCAAAGCACTTTAAAAGGAAGAGGGGAGTGTCCCTCCACCCTGGCCCTAGAGGAGTAAAGTAATGCACATTGGAAAAAATAACCCCAACTATACATACAATATGATGGGGGCTAATTTAGCCAGGAAAAAGATCTTGGAGTCATCCTGGATAGTTCTCTGAAGATGTCCACGCAGTGTGCAGCGGCAGTCAAAAAAGCAAACAGGATGTTAGGAATCATTAAAAAGGGGATAGAGAATAAGACGGAGAATATCTTATTGCCCTTATATAAATCCATGGTACGCCCACATCTCAAATACTGCATACAGATGTGGTCTCCTCATTTCAAAAAAGATATGCTGGCACTAGAAAAGGTTCAGAAAAGGGCAACTAAAATGATGAGGGGTTTGGAACGGGACCCATATGAGGAGAGATTAAAGAGCCTAGGACTCTTCAGCTTGGCAAAGAGGAGACTAAGGGGGGATATGAGAGAGGTCTATAAAATCATGAGTGATGTGGAGAAAGTGAATAAGGAAAAGTTATTTACTTGTTCCCATAATACAAGAACGAGGGGGTCAGCAAATGAAATTAATAGGCAGCAGGTTTAAAACAAAGACAAGGAAGTTCTTCACGCAGCGCACAGTTAACTTGTGGAACTCCTTGCCTGAGGAGGTTGTGAAGGCTAGGACTAGAACAGGGAACTGGATCAATTCATGGCGGTTAAGTCCATGAATGGCTATGAGCCAGGATGGGCAGGGATGGTTTGTCAGAGGGGGGAGATGGACGGCAGAAGAGAGATCACTTGATCATTGCCTGTTCGGTTCACCCCCTCGGGGGCACCTGGCATTGGCCACTGTCGGTAGACAGGATACTGGGCTAGATGGACCTTTGGTCTGACCCGGTGCAGCCAGCAGCTGGTGGACAAATGGGGGGGGGGTTCCAGCTCCTGTGGCCCCATCGCCCCCTGCTAAACACCCCCCCTTCCTCGGGGCACCAACAGGGCCCAAGAAAACTACATGTCCCAGCAGCCTCCTCTCTCGTTTCCATGGCAACCCTGGGCCGGGGAGCTGTGCCCACGCCCTGTAGCAACAGCGGGAGGCATGGGAGCATGCGCCGCGCGTGGGACGGGGGCAAATCAGGAGACTCGAGAGGGAGGCTACGCGCATGCGCGCCGAGACGATGGGCGAAGCGCGTGCGCACTCCGGAGGAGGCGGCCCTGGGCACGCGCGCGTGGAAGGCCGAGAGCCGCGAGGCGGTTGGGGCGCATGCGCTCTGCGTCCGGTAGGGCCCACCTGGGCGCAAAGCGCGCTGAGGGAGCGGGCGCCGGCGCCGGCGCATGCGCGGCGGGGAGTGCGGCGAGAGGCGGGAGCGCGGGGTATTTTGCTGCGTCACCAGCGCCTGGAACAGCCGCCGTTGCCCGAGCGCGCGGTGCATTGTGGGTGCTAGGCCGAGCCCTGAGGAGGAGCCGCCGCCTCACGCTGGTCGGACCCGGTCCCTCTCGCCGCTGCCCGCCCGCGCCAGAGAGCCCTGAGCCGGGGACCCGCCTGACCCGGAGCCGCCCCTGCCGCCGTTCGCCATGTGAGGGGGGAA